AGTTTAAAGTTATGACAGGCAATACAACAAAAAAATTGTGTATAATGTATCCGAACATTAATTGGAAAATATATGTATACTTTTATTTTGTTTCCAAGAATGGAAGTTTCAAAGAATTTATTTTATTTTGTAATTTGTTCGTTAAAATAATATAAAAATTCTTGCAATAAAATGTTATTAAAATAATGGATTGTAAAATCAACGTGAAGCCAATAAAGAAACGTGAAAAAATTAATTAAAGGAAAATATCAGAATGAAGATATAAATTTGCTATTTCCCTCTTGAAAATTGCTATATTCTGATAACTCTATTGCATTATAATACACCGTAATTTATAAACGTATCTGATAATATATTCATCTAGAAAGATTTTGCAATTAATTCTACCTATTACCTGTACAAGTATTTCACAACCTATACTAACTTAATTTAATCAAAACTTTAGGATAATAAAACATGAAAAGAGTTTCCATAAAGAAAAAAAATAAAAATGACTTTAAAATCTTCGAAACATTTCCTTTCCTCTAAATATGAAACATATTCCAATCATCCAATTATACATGAATCAAAATTTAATTTAATTTAATTTAAGTCTTCTACAATTTTAAGATTACAACTCAGCCTATTTAGATCCCTTGATTTAAGAGTATAGAAGAGTATATAAAACTTGATTTGAAGAATATATAAAACTAACTTCCACCTAAATTCACCTAAGTAATAAATGATTTGAAAGCTTAGCTAACAGGAAGAAATCTTCGAGCAGCAACAATGCGGATCGACAAAGTCCGAGCAGGTTGATCACCCGCCGCGCTTTTACTGCAATTTTCGACGTTGACTGATTCCCACCCACGGTGACATACGCGCGTGTGCCCGCGGGTGAGGAGGGAAACCGGCACAGAGTGATTAATCATCCGATCCTTTGACAAAGGGCGGAAAGCCGGCCGGATTTTCGCAACGAAGGTGTTTCCTCTCGGCCAGCTGTCGACGAAAAACGCGGCCAGTTCGAGTGGAATCAAAGAAAGCAAAAACGACCGATCCTTAATACGTTTGTAATCTAACTCGTTTACGCTCCTTTCTCTTCACGCTCTGACTGTAACTTCCACCGAGTTATCCAAGCTTCCCCAATTCCTTTGACAACGATGATGGAATTTTCGAATTTTTGAATTGTCATTATTCTTGATTTGTCTTCCTACGTTACAGAACTTGAACAAGTGTATCGTCAGATTGTTAATTAATCTTTTGACGATTGGAATATTATCTTCTTGTGTCGATTTTGGAAGAAAGATGTTTATTATTTGACACGAATATTAACGATGATAGAAAAGAACAATTCATTTTCTTTCTTTTTGATAAAATGTATACGAATATTATTACAATAATATGTAAAAACTATTTCACGTTATGTAAACTCTTTTCAAAGAGTTTAATCTAAGAGTCTAACTTATAAACTTTATATTTTAGCCAAATTCCTTCTCACTTTTCTGATTCTCATCGCAAAAATTATGATCTTTGAAATATATACTTTCCATGTTCCATTATTTCACCAAAATATCCTGACAATTTTACAAAGAATTAAAGTTCGACAAAATAAATCGACGGATGCGTCACAAGTTCCTCCATAGCCTAGTTCAATCCAAACCATCAACACTCGCAGACGTACAAACACTCAAAATTTAACCATGTTCGCGGCTATGGTTGTCCTAACGATTCTCTCGCGGAGTTGGCCGGGAAACTTGAGTTGAGCTCGACTTTCCAAAGTTCGTCGTACGTCCGCCGAAATCGTCGCGAGAGTTCGTCGTCCTCTGCTGCATCCTCTTGACGTTTCCGCTTGGACGGTTAAAGCTTTCTTCCCGTTTCCTCTCATATCCGTTATTCGAGCATCGTGTTTCCGCGATGTCACGATAGAACCTGAGGGGGAGGAGGATTATGCGCTCTTCGTCTTTTCATACAAAACCTATCGACACCGAATTTCGAATTTGTCCCCGCTACAAATACTCTTGGGTTGAACTTGAGGTTTCACAATGATTGATTCGGATTAGCGATGCTTCGGATCGAGATCGAGACGATTGTCGTCGAGTTGTCTCTTGGAAATTTGGAGTGTTAAATTTGGAATGATCGATTGCGGGATTAACGAACGAACAACTAGGAGGAGACAGTTTAAGAGATTTGGAAGGGAGAAGGTTTTGGTGATTGTGGGATTTCGAAGTGATTGTGAAGTAATTCGAGATAAGATTGAGCTCGATTTGTACAATAAAGAGTTGATAAAATTATCTTTATCACATTTCCCGAGAATCTGCACTTATCATAATGGACCATAATCTATTTACGAATTGCATTTGCAGGAAATTCGTGTCCGGTTTGTCGATACTATTTTAAGACCACGAGACATTAATCAGTGATAATATTCTTGAATACTTTATGTCATTTAATGAGTGGCGATTCGAAGCGTTTCGGTCGTACATGCACACTAGTTCGTTGCGAATTGATCACCAAGAATAATCTCTTGCTCAGAAAAATCAGATAACGTTTTGAATTTCAAACTTGGAAGCGTTTATTATAATAATAATAATTGAAACACAAATTTTCAATTAAGAAATAAACGTTATTTCTATCTGAAATAATCAATTCTATAATTCACTTGTCTAATATTAGTACAACAACAAAACAAAAGCTAGAAAGAAGCTAGAAGCATTTTTAAAAAGAAAATTAATTTCTAATAATTGGACACTTTACTGAAAAAGAAATGAATTTGTATCGACTTTCAATGCAAATGAGAAGTTTGCTTGAACAAGCCTAGCGCTTGTTACATACCGACACACTATTTGCATACGTGTCGTATATCGAATATCGTTTAAATTAAACAAAATACGTGCTTGTTTCGAAAATAAATAATGTTCCGCGCGATATTTAACAATTTAACAATAATTGTCAAATCAAAGTTTTAATAATTGAAGATCGTTAAAAATATTATGATTAATTTAATATCTTTTTGGAAAATGTTATAATTTTGCTTCATCTGGTCTTTGCTCATCAACTATTAAAGCTACTACTTCCTGTTTCTGTTAAACACGCCTACGGCTAAACCACGATTGGGAAATTGTTTAACTTACTAATTAATCGATCACGAGCTACTTGTGACAAGAATATTTCTGTTATGTGTATCTCATAATATCAAGTTTGATAATATTAAACTCGAATTTAATATTAATTCGAATTCGATATGAAGTTCAATATCGTTTGTGTTTAAAATTATTGTTGGAAATATAAAATATCTTTGAATCATAATTAACAACCGAATAATATATGAAAGTAAGATGATTTCTCATAAAAAGAATAAGACAAAAAGGAAAAAAGAAAGAAAGAAAGAATAGAAAAAGTAAAAAAGCTTATTTTTCGAAAAAATTAAATTTAAAAATTCACTATATACATATGTAATTATGGATAACAGACGGTTCAACGAGCGACGTATAATAGCTATTGCGTTTATAAACAATGCTTTGCGACTTCTTCTGTTAATAATCTGTTATTTATACGGGTGATATTTTCATTGATTTATCACAGCATGACATGTACGAATTGGAAATACATTGATACGATCTTTAGAAGTTTGTCCATGGAAATTTAACTGCTATTGTTTGTTATTACGAACAGTATTAAGTTAAAATTAATACGAATTTCAATTAATGCGAAATAATGATAAATTTCGAAATTTCGAAAATGAGAGTATGTTCATCGAAAATACATCTACAATAAGAATGGATGATATCGAAATAAATTATTCTTATTTACTACTTCTATTATACTATTATATATTTGCAATGGATGGAATTCTTTGAAAATTAAATTTCAAAAAGAAGATTTAATCCTTTGCTTCTTGCTTATTTTTTTCATAGAAGAATCACCCTTTAACTATCGTATGAATTTCTCAAAGTAAAAATAAAAGTTACTACGAGCATATTATATTCATATGTAAAAATGAAATAAACGAATGAAAGATATATCAATAATTCAACAACGATTTCAAGGAAAAAAGAAATCTTTTCCCTTCCTTACGCGATATTTCTTTAATTCATGAAGTTCCTCGCATTCGTTTTTCCATTCATCGATTCTTGGATAACAAATAATCAGCGAAAAGAAAAAAAAAAGGCGCGTTCGATATCTCGTTTTCAAGACAAATATCGATAATTTCTCTATCAGACCGGGGATCGTGCATTCGATAACGTTGCCGAGCTATTAAAGCCTTCTTAGGATTTCTCGAGGATTGGTATTCCCTTTCGAATTGGAACAAATAACAGTTTCATGGAAACGCGGATCGAGAAACGACGAGGCCTTTGCGATAATTGGAAATGTAAATAAGCTGGAAAACCTTCGCTGGCGGGCTACGTCTTAATTTGAATTTTAAAGTTACGTTTAGAGAAACGGTCTCGAGCGTTGCGTTACTGAGAAAAGTCGTAAGCGATACGCCTCTTCTTGGAGGCTGCCTTCCAAATTATGTTTACCATACCCTTGCATAACTGTGTTTCCACGATTTTTCAAATGAGCCACGATTCTTTCATGTCCTAATAGGTGTGACAATGTTGTAAGATAAAATATTGTATTCATAAAATAGTGATTTTTAAAAGATAGAAGTGAAAATGATGTTTGAAATAAATTTTATATTAGTCTCAGTATATTCTTTTTTTAAAAATATTTCGTAGATGAATGGAATATATTATTTACGTTTACATATAAAAATAAATTAGAATTATTTTTATATGCAATAAATAATGATAAAGAAGCTGTTAATTTTCTTAAGATAAAATGAATCAGTGAAAGTTTTTTGAATAAAAAATTTTTTATACGATGTGATTACTAATGGAATCGAAGAAAAGTGCAACGCATATTTAAAACGAAAATATCCTCTATGAATTTGCATACGAGAAAAGATCAAAATCTATGTAAATAGCGATTATAATATGACAAAATATTCCATTCAGTTGGCAAAAAAAGAATGTGTTTACCTTTGATAAATAGTCTCAAGATACAGCCGATCTAATGCCGATCTCTCGTTTCGCTTGGTTCATCGCAAAGCTATTTTCTATCCCCGTGAATCGCCACGATATTCTCGATTCTCGATCTCGAGGTACGTGAAGCGTCTGTGTTAAAAGAAACTGAAGGGAAGTCCTTCAGCAAAGTCCATTATCCATCGTGTAAACCGCTCGAGCCTCTTCTACTTCTAACCAATGAAATCGAGTCTCTTTTTTAACCTTATCTACACATTTCAACGCAACCCCGTTCAATCAACACCCACACAATCTTCTTTTCCACCTTTATCTACCAGTCCTTTCATCCAATCGTCTAATAATAAAAATCAACAAGAACACATCTCACAATATACTCGACTCACAAAAATCTTCCTGTCTATTTACCACACTTTTACATCACTGCCTACACACTCGAGTATTATCGTATGTCACTCTCGATCCAACCACGCTCTCGTACCTCGTGAAACTCGCGAGGTGGTTGGGACACGACTCGATCACATGGAAACGTGGTTCGATAATTTATTCCCTTTGTGCAACTCGACGTATTTGTAGGAAGCGAAAAAAAAAAGAGGGAGGGGAGGGGTAAGAACGAACGAGGCACGCACGATAAAACTAAAAAAATCTTGGCGAGGACGCGGAAACGTGGTCGGAAAAAGTATTTTTCGAGCCGCGAAGACACCGTGATCTCGCTCGTGAGGCGCAGCGCACTTCGCAAGGGGCGCGGCGTAACTGAGCTCTACGAATCAACCCCCGTCCTTTCTCTCTCGCTCCGTATCCCATCTCCCTCTATCATTCTCCTTCTCCGTCCCTCGACCACGCAGACTCCCTCCCTCCCATCTGGCAGATCCTCTCTCCTCCTTCCACCCTCTCCCTCTCTCTCTCACTCTCCCGGTCTCCTCTTTCATTCCTCTTTTCCTCCATCCCCGTTTCTGGCTGTCTCCTCTTTCTTGCCCTTCTTTCTCCACCCCCTGCGTCTCCTCGCCTTTCTTTTACCCGCTAAACGCGGCTCAATCCTCACCCCCCGTTTTGGTCCCAGTGCAGAAGCAACCCATTGCGCGAGCATATTTCTCCCTGACCCCCATACCAATCCCTTCTCACCTGATCCCTCAACCAATACCTCCTCCTCCTCCTCTTCCTCGTCCCCAAAGGGTTTTCTTCTCCTTCTTTCCCATCGTGTCATTTGCATCCTCTCCTCGACACGTTTGTGTATGGGCAAATGTACGTATACAAAGATACTTTCCCTCTTCCCTGTGCCGTTTATCCTGTACGCGCCCTTTGTTTTTCGCCACTTCTTTCGTTTGCTATTTTGCTTCTATCGAGGCTACTTCTTCTCCCCCCACGAGAGCATTCGTGAGTTTCGAGTGCATAGCTCTCGAGATGCGATGCTTTTTATCGCGATTCATTGCTTTCGTTTCCTCCGATTTTTTCCCGAGTTTTTTCGACGCCCGACAGAAATCTGCCACTTCGAATGGAAGGAATGGATAAGTAAAGACTTTTGTTCCCACGAGCGCTATCTTCGAATCGCTAACGCTCGCCACGATCCTTCCATCTTAATTATTGTTTTAAGGTAATTAGTATTGTCTGTCTTTTCGCGCGTTGTTCAATTCCATTGCTCCTGGGTTGAATAAATATTTGTTACTGTCTTTGTTATTTTCTACCGATGTCGTCGATCCTTTGTCTCGATCCTGTCGCCGAATCCAATTTTATTTTACGTTAAGGCCGGATAAAATTTCGTAGTAAAGGTTTATAGACAGGTGTTTCGAAAAATGAAAAATACTTGGAATACGTTTGCATTTTGTGAGGATCGAGCTTAACGTGATTTAGGATTCGAGAAATATTTCATCGTTATTTGACATTTGTATTTTTGTTGTTGAATTTGTAAATGTTTACCAAAGCAGATAATAATAATTCAACTCTTGCGATTTGATAAGTTAATCAATCCTTAAACTAATTTCTTCGAACAGCTTCTTCTGCACTTCTCAAGTGATTCGAATAAAAAAACTAATATATCAAGTGTCATCGGATATCTTCAAACTTCAAAGCATTTTTCGCAGAGATTATCAATTCGAGCATTCTCGAAACTTTGAGAGACGTTAACTCATCAAAGTTGGTAATTGCCCTATATCTTTGTAGAAAATTTCATCAGATCAGAGTTGAAGTCCGCTTCAAACTACTTTCACTTTTATTCTTTTATTTTTCATTATACATATATTATATCTCCATTATTTTTCATTTTTAATCTGATATTTCCTATATTAAATTTTACTATATCTTTATTATTTTATTTTCATTATTAATTATCGTCTATAGATAAATAAATTTAGGTAGAGATACTTTTTAAACTCTCTTTCATTATTATTTTTTTTTTTTTACTCTCAGCAATCTCGGTTCAACTTTATCAAAGATTTCCTCGATGTTTTAAGTTTTTAAAGAATCTACAAAAATTTATTCGCTTTTTAATATCCTTAGAATATTACCTAGAAAGTTACGCCATTTTTTCAAAACACGCTAACTTTGAGAGGATAACAAAACGTGTAATATCAAGATACAAGAATATAAATTCAACTATCCCCTTCACTATTTTACGAGTGTCAATGACACTAATTCGTTAAATCACCATAATCAACCAAATACATTTAAACAATCGATATTTCGCATCTCATAAAATGTTTTTCTTACTATCTCTCGCAAAATACAAAAAAAAAAAAAAAAGNNNAAAAAAAAAAAAAAAAAAAAAAAGAAAATGTACAAATCTAAAATTTCCATTAAAACAATAGATTCGTAACACACAAACGCACAGGCGATAAACAAAGTTAAAAGGGAATATGAAAAAGTTCACCGATAACGTGTGTTTTGTTTCCGGTACGGAACAACGAGCATCAACGTTCTAGAACGGTGCTTACCACCGATTTCAATAAAAGCTAACAGTTCGTGGCATTTTGTTTGATTCGGGGGGCGGCACGATCAAAGGGACGATTCGGTTAAGCGTCCGATGATTGATCGACCGGTAATGCCGGATGGGATTGAAAAAAAACTTAATCTGTCGAGCCGTCTGCCGAGTCCGGGAATTAATATCACGAGAACCAGATTAGCCTCGGCCGTGGAACGCTCGGTTGCACTTCGATTTACCATCCAATGATCGAGTGCCGCTTAAATCACTGCCGATTACGGGTGTGCCTCGATGCTACTCCTGTTACGGCCAAAGTGCGCGGCGTAACGCGTTACACAACGATTATAGCCCCGACAGGTTGTAATGGCGAGGGCTTGATTAAGGGTTCAATCACGTCCTATTTTCATTACACTCGATTCTACGTTCGAATATTATTCCATCATCTTTAGAGTTATCGACGTTCGTGTTCTGCCGCGATAACGATTAGATTTTCGTTGCGGGCGTTTCGTTGCGATACACGACATGCGAACGAGGATGTATTGCGATTCGAAATACTTTTTTCTTTCTTTTATGCATGAATTTTGTATAAATGTGTAACTGTTTCATTATTAGAACGGATTAAAGAATATGCCGGATAATATATATTTCGATTGAAATATTCGAGAGTAAAAACGTGAAGAAATACGTGAAATCTGATATTTCCTATCCATTAATCTTACGCATTATTTAACCAACGTGGAAAATATATTTTCAGGAAATTAATATTTTCCTATAATCCTCAATATCGGCGTACAATAAAGCAATAACCAGTATCACAAACAATTAATAAAAAAGCAACTACTTTTTGATTCAATTTTAATCATTAAGAATTCGTATCCCCTAATTGCAATTCATAATTTAACTTTGAAATTTTTATTTAATCCTTTCAATTCCTTACAGATCTGAAATTAACTTCATAAATCTTGACAAGAAGAGCGAATAAACGTGTGAAATATTCTTCGAAGAAAACAATTTATAATATTTTACATAAAATTACCGAGATTAAACTAGAATCGAACTAATCAAATTTCTTCCATTCTTTCTCTCTGAAAAGGTATACGATCGTAACAGTTCTTGGTATTTTCAACACATTGGAGTGTAGTTCACGAGCAATTGTTGACAAACGAATATTTATCGATCAATAAGAGATACGCTTCCGAGATAAAATCCACGAAAACGCAAAATTTCTTCGATGCTTGTTTTGTGTTCGAACGTCAGAGAGCACAATCTGGTGTCTAAAGTCTGCGCGAGAAGCAAATATCCTGGTCCCACAGAAGGCGGAGGGTACAGAGAGGTTGGTAAAATTTCAAATTTCGTCACGCCGCAATAGGTACGCCTATATAAATATTTTATGCGGTCGAACGACAAGGGAGATCGGTACGCGCGCACCATCGAGGGTTCGCCTCATAAATTTCATATTTCTGTGTCATCCCTTTTCATCGAACAGGGCCGAGGGAGTGCACATCGATGCTTGTGTGCAACGTACGACGAGGCGGTAGGTGAATATACTTCCCCAAAAAATGATATACATCTTGCGTGGAAATCGATCGACGTTTGTTTCATTGTTGGATTGATGATCTGAAATACCGTGACCGGTTTTTTCACCCGCTTCTTTTACCCGCTTTTTCTTTTTTTCTTGTTTTTATTATGAAAATATGATACGAAGTATATGGAAAGTTATTCAATTTTTCCCTTTAGCAGGGAATATTTATGATGACATCATAATCCGTGGTCGATTATTGTGTAATTCTTGTGGATGACGATGAAATTTATTGAGAATTTTCGATATAGAGACGGTAAATAAGCGAAGAGTGTCTGAGTGAAATTAGTAACAAATTAGATCAAATTTGAAATTAGATCAAATTTGATATGAATTTATAAATCTGAACTACTTCTGATACTTCAGTTTTTGACTTTAATAAAAGTTTTGAAAATTTAGTTCTGAAATTTTTACTTTGGTATGTATTCTACGAATCGAATCTTTTTTAAATCAAGTCCTAAGAATTCAGAAATCATTACTACTGCGTTAAATTTTACATAATATTTTTGTATGTATAAAAAAAAAGTTTAAATTTAACAAATATATTGCAATTGTATTCAGCATACCAGAAATATCTGTTGCAATTATATTATTTATATTTAAAAATTCCATTTGCAAAATTTCAGACATTTTGAATTTTTTCGAGGATGTTGACAACTCTGTCTCGGAGTCATCGATTTAACGGTAGAAAATATTTAAGCTTTTGGAATGTGACGTGACATAAGAGTCCTTGTAATGTCGACAGGCTGTCAATAGACAGATATTTCTTGCCGTGTTGCAAGTGGCATGTTCCTACATGTCAAACTGTCGCCATTAGAGGACTACGGCCACATATGCATCTCGTGACATAAACTAACCGATACATTCATCTAAACATTCTTTAAAATCATATTATACTGTCTAAATCTCATATAAAACGTATCACCGTCATGTAATTATAATATATATTGTCCCAAAATTACTAATCTCATCTTCATGTGATGCGAATTAAAATTTTTGACTAAATCAAAAAACTAAATATTTCACATACTATAATTATCATAATAATCCAATAAATATCGAGAGCTTTATTGGATACTGAATACTAGATGAACCTTTCATACTATTTATTTAAAAA